TATTATAGCCGCGTTTAATAAACTACGTATATATCTTAATAGCGAGGATTTTACTACTTTTATTATCTTTCTTAAAGTATATAAGTATTAAATCCTTCTCTTCGATCTAATTAACGGCTTAATTATATATTAATAATATATAAATAATATTCTATTTAAGTATCTAAACGACTTCTATTAGATTTATCTCGATAATATATTTATTTATAATAAGATAAAAAAGAAATACGTCTAATACGTTAGATAAATCCTTTAGAAACTAAGAAATATCGATCTTTAAATAGATATTCTTAAGTGCGAATTCTATATTTAGAAAATTAAATTTCTAGACTTACTAATATCTATAGATGGGTTATAAATAAACTCTATTAAAATTTAGACTATTATCGAATAAATTATATTTATTAATCTTAAAGAGATATAGGCCTTTATTAGATTTTATAATTTTTATTAATAATTTATTAGAGACTTCTTTAAAATAGTTAAATTTATAATAAAACTTATCGTAAAAGAGATTATATTTAATTAGTTTTCAGTATATTAAGAGGCCTTCTATTTTCTAAAAGTCGTTATTATAAAAGTCTTAGTTCTACATTATTTCGATAGAATAAAGAATATCATCTTAGAGACTAAATCTTCTAACTATATTAATAAAGATATTCTTTCTTAATATAATAATAAGAAAATACTTTATTCGATAGTCTTTTATAGTAAAAATTTTACTTTAATTAAGTATAGTTATTAGATCTACGATAAGAAGTTATTAGTTATTATTCGCTATCTTAAATATTAATATCTTAAATTAAAATATATTAATATTTCTATTAAGATCTTTATAAATTATAAGAACTTAATATATTTTATTAAAGAAAGAGACCTTAGTTATCGCTAGGCCCGCTATTTAAATATACTATTTAAATTTAATATAAAGATTATTTATCGATCTAAATCTTAGAATATTAAGATAGATATATTTATATAAATAATTAAATATAAATTAATTAATTTCGAAGATAAACGATTACGCTAATAGTATTAAATAATTTTAATTTTTAATTAATTAAAGTTAAATAGCGAAAGTATCGATATATATATAATTAATAATTCTATCTATTATAAGATAGTAGAGATTAATAAAAAAAAAAATTATTATATAAAAATTTATAACGCTATTATCGAAGATAAGAATAAGTTTTAAGAAATTATTTTTAATAAGTACTTTATATAAAATAAAATACTTTATTATAAAGATCGTTTATAAGTATTCGATAATATATATATCGATATTATTTAAGAAAATATATAATTAATTATTCTACGACTATCTCGAGATAGTATATATTTATAAACTACTTAAAAGAGAGTATTATTAGCGAGAAATAAGAGCGATAGTAATTATTTATATTTAAAATTACTATATCTATTAGAGAATTAAGATATCTCGCGATTAGAAATATAATTTATTTTAGTCTCTATTAATTTTATAAAAATAATAATAAAATATATTAGTTAACTTCGTTATAGACTTATTTATATTTAATAATTATAACGCTATTTAAATAGCAATTAATTAATTTATTAAGAAATATTACTATATAGTCTATTCTAATATTAATAAAAGTACTATTATTAAGAAGATAGTTAACTTATTACTTAAGAAAGTATCTCGTCTATATAATTTATTAATCTTAATAATATTAAATTGAGATTTTTAATTTATAACTACTATATAGAAGTCTTTTTATAAAAAACTAAATATTATAATTAAGCTATTAATAGCTTTTTATTCTAAAATTAATAAATAGATTAAATAAGCGAATTAGAATATAGAGCGTTATTTTCGAATATACTATAATTATATATAGAACGATTAGATAAGATAGCTATCTATTATCGAGTTTGTCGATAATAATATTATTTTATTAATTATTAATATTCTATCTTTCCTCGCGAATAAGAAATTTTATTTTTAAATAACTTTTAATTTAAATATTATCGACTATAAGATTATATATAAGCGTCTTAATATTACTTAAGCGAAGAATATTACGAATTATATAAAATAAGTTTTTAAGTATATTTAAAGTAATATAAATCGCGTTTAGAAGATTATAATTATATAAATTAATAAGTATTAATAAAAGATTACTTTTTAAATAGATGATAAGATCTTTCTAAATAGTAAGAATATTACCTTTAATTATTCTTTCTATAAATTAAATTATAAAAGACTTAATTTATTCGAGATTATAAGTTTTATAAGAATTTTATACTATTTAAAACTTTCGTTAAATATAAAGATTTATAACGTCTTTTATTTTAATCTCTTAAATTTTATAATAAATAACTTCTTATTAGAGTAAATAAATTCTTCGTCGAAATATATTATTATTAATAATTAGATCGAATAGATTATTAAAGAAATACTTATTTTTAAATTAATTTATAATTATTTTAAGTATAAAGTTAAATAAAAAGGTCTTAATAATAATCTTATTTAATATAATATAAATAACGATAAATTCGAAAATTATTAAGATCTAATAGACGACTTTTATAAGTAATATTTCGAAGAGTCTTATCTATAAAGAATTAACTAATAAGATTTCGAAATTATCTCGAATATCTCGTTTTTAATTAAATTAAAATCGTTTAATATCTTTATAATAGCCTTATTTTTTTAGAGTTAAGAATTAATTTCTTAGATCTATATCTAGTCTCTCGCGTAGAATTCTCTTACTAACTAATATTTAAGTATCTTTCGAAGTTATAATATATTATCTATAAATTTTATTATCGCTATTAATAGTCTTTATTAATATCGATTATATAATATCTTACGAAGAAACTTACTTAATATTAAATTAGGGTTTTTAGCGTCTACGACTTAATTCGATTTAAAAGCTCTTAATTAATTATATCGTATTATTTTATTAATATTCTACTCGCTTAAATATAAATTCGAAAATTACTATTATTTATCTCTATATCTATAAATCTTATTTTTATTATATTATATCGATTTTCTTCTAGTTAGACTTTCTATATACGTCTAAATTATAATTAATAATATCGCTATAATATAATTAAGAAGAGCTATTATCGTTATTAATACCGCTCTTAAAGAAAGATATTATATTAAAAAATTCTAGATATAATTATTTCTTTACTACTTTTATTATTTTTCAAATGTTAAGCGTATATATATACTTATTTTTCTATCTTTTTACTTATTAATTATAAAATATAATTTAATAAAGAGAGAAAGTAATATTATAAGTATACTCTTAATATATCTCTTAGTCCTATAGCTAGCGGGCCTTAGCGGAGGCATCTTCTATTATATTATATCTTCTTCTTATCTATATAATTCGATATCTTAGTTATCTTATTTAATATATCTATATTAATATTGCATCTATATCGATTCTAATATTATAGAAGATTTAAAAAATTTCTCTAATTATTTAAATATTTTAGCGACTTTCGCTTTAATACTATTTTAAATTAAATAATATACTTTATTAAATAGATAGATAATATAATCTTTAAAGTATTTTAAGTAATTTTCGCTTAAAATTCGATTTTCTAATAATAATAAGATTTTAGATATTATAATAAGCTTAAAGGAATCTTAAATAAAAGCTTAGAGACTTTAATATAACTTGTTATAGTATTTAAGAGAATAAACGCGTTCGTAATTATATAAATTTCAAAAATTGGATTTGATCAAAATAGTTATTCGGTTAGGTGCCGGGTGGGCGGAGTGAATCTTTTCCACGCTAGGACCAATTGGGGGTTTTCTCGAAAACCACGAAACCAACGCCTTTCGATTTGTTTTACGGCGCCAATTCAATCTCCCGATTTACGAGGTTATAACATATCTACGTTTAGGCTCTATGTGTAATTTGATATAGATGGTACACAAGGTAGAGTTCTATTGGAGATGTTTGTTACAATGGCACCCTACTCGCTCGATATGAAGGTCTTCTTCCGGTCTTGACAACCGTAAACACACTCCAAAAACTCCCAAATCTGGTGTGAACACACTTCGATAACCGAATGTCCAGCCAGCATAATCGGTACATGGGTAAGTTCAAGTTGCTTGATATTTGTGCTCTGTTGACTGTCTTTGACTACTTATCCATTCCTCGAACAGGACAAGGCTACTGCAGAGATCTAGACTACAACATTCCTATTGATCACCAGTCACCGAATATTAGACCATAGCTCTATATCTACCTCACTACATGAAAATCTCTTTATTGTCTCTGGTAGTTTTGGCCTCCTAATGGGCACCTTCGTTCTTCTCTGTTCTCCGCTCCCATCTCCTGCTTCATGCTGCCGTGACCAAACACAGCCCTTAGATTTCGCTTAGATCAAGATACATGGAAGCCTACTGTGTGCCGCATTGTAGACATGGCCCCCCAAGTATAGAGTGTTTGACGAGAGTCCAAGAGCCATGCACGAGTACCCCGGCCTGAAGTTTGTGCTTTTGGAACAGCATGCACCCATAATCTGTACTAGAGTCAGCCCCTTCGCCCCTTGATACCTTATACAGGGAGTCGATGATTCTACGGTCAAGTCTGAGGATCACTTTTCAATGTAAGTATCAGGCTGCGATTGACTTGGATAAGGCGGTAAGCTCTTCCTCTCTCATAGTCCAGGACAGTGCAATTACCCTAGCTTTTGGACGACGATGAGTGCCTTCGAGGCAAATGATCGAGTGAGTCTATTCGGAGTTGCTATCCTGGGACGGGACGAGAGAAGTTGGTCATGCAACAAGCAAGGGAAAACGTAACATTGAGTGAGTCAACAAGCGAATGCGAAGGACAGTGCAGGTAGAGGGAGCTCGGGTCCACTGTGCGCCTTGAGAAGAGCAAATCGGAACCTAAAGGCGCGCATGAGCGATTTACTCGACTCTATCTATCATTCACGGTCAACTGGATAGAGGTGACGTCTTCGAAATCCTTACCTTTCATTGTAGACATCCTAACAGAATGCAGTCAGCTATACTAAATCTATCGTCGATTCTGACCTTGCTCTTCTTGCCTCTTCAAATCTTGAACGTGGGGTCCGCTCTACCTTCGGACCAGGATGTGCCTAATGGCCAGGAGCGAGTTGGTGAGTGTGACAGCATCGGGAATTCGCTCATGCCATACATATCGCCCACGACCCATGGTGGTGCCATCCCGCCCTCACCCGGCAACGCGGTTGATGGAAACATGACTTCCAACTTGCGCATTGTCGACTACACCATGTCCATGTTCGTTCCATCGGCAGATGCAACTCACAGTCAGCCTCGAATGTACAAGCAAATGTACGCCACCGCCGTCAATTTGTCCACTTCAGTTGTGCCTTCGGTGCGTATCACCTTCACGTACGGTGCTTTCACCCTGACATTGACGACCCTTGCGCGAGTAGTCCCGCTGGATGTCGTCATTGCTGTGTTGCAATGTATGATGGCAGGTTTGTCCGCTGTGGGGTTTGTAGCGTCTGTCTTACTGCCTTTGGCGTTGTTTGGATTGTGCTGGCTGCTGTCGAGCTTACGTACGGTGTCAGACAGAGTATAGATGCGATGCTGGACTGACTGAATGTGAGATAGGAAGGGCGGGAGGCCTTCTTTGCGCTGGGCTGCGTCGACGTCATGGTGAAGAGGATGAAGACTTCTAGTGTAGTAAACGCGTATTGTAGAAATGGTCGATTGGTATGCAGGAGAAAAGTCGACTCATGGATGCAGTTCAAGACGCATAAAGGGGAGCTTTTAAACCTCAGCCCACCCCCACGATAATATTACCGGAGAACGATTAGGCCGACCCGCCGGATTAATAAAGCCCTCCCATAATAATTTAGCAGCCCTCCTTACCTATTACACTCTTCTTCTTTATACCTCGCTATCGCCCACCAATTTTTTAAAACTATCTATAACTCCGCCCCGTCTACTACTCCGCCCCGCCTCGCTTACTATAACCTCTTAAAAACGCGTTGTTCGCTAGCCCCCGCAATACGGAGACTTCGAGGATATTTAGAAGGAGCTAGATTAGTACGACAGTAACCCTAAAGATATTAATCGAGATCATCCTCTATTAGAGATTCTCTCGAAAGATAATATAGCCTTACTATAGAAGAAGAATAAGAGTAACCTCAGTGATGCTGAGTGGAGTTACGACACGTACTCTAACGCGTCTAGATCGCCGTCGCCATTATTTAATACCCTCTTTATCTTCTATTACCCTCTTATCAAGCGAAAGACCTCTATTAGCCTTAATAAATAGAAAGAGTTACGAAAGGGGATTAAACGTAGTAAACTCGCGCCTATAATATTCTCGAAGGTCGCGTTAATAATACTAAAGTTATCTATAGACACTTCAACAACTTATAAGACTATTTTTACGCTGAAAATAGTTATTAAATAGATACTTAAGTAGTTTAACGCGTATTAACCTCTAATTAATAATTTCTAGATATATAATAAACTCGATAAGTCGCTAACTATCTAAGATACTCAATTATCTTATTAATAATATCATTTATATAAGAATAAGATTATTAGTAAGATATATAGTTAGCGAAATAAGTAACTACGTTATATTAATCTTTATAAAATAAAGTTAAAGATAATAAAGATCTATAGCCTATCTAATCGTAGTATTCTTTTATTTATTAAGATCTCTCTTTATCTTAATAAGAAATACGCTTACTAAAAGTATAATTACGAGTAAGACTATATTAATTAATATAAAGTTAACTTTTTTATAATAAATATCGCTAGCAAAGTAGTTATTAAGAATATTAAAGTTTACTTAATTTACGCTATTCTAAAAGATATAAAATAATTTAATAATTTAATTACTTTAAAGGCTACTAGAGATAAATATCTTATTTTAATATATTATTATAATATTAGAGTTAAATAAAAGAAGTTTTACTCTAATTAATAAATTTAAAGTATAAAGATATCGTGAATAGAGTAATAGACTAGTTATTTAAAAGATCTAAAGTAGAAGAAGAATATACGATATATTAATATTATCGCTAAGAGAGATATAGATAGCGAAGTAATCTATAATATCGTATTTACGAAAGAATATAAGTTTATAATATTTATTAATTAGAATAGTTAGGCTAACGAGTAAAATAATATTAATCTAATTAATATTTCTTTAAAGACGAGAATATTTTATCTTAATAAATACTACTTATAATAATAACGCTTTTAAATAAAAGCTATTTATCGTTATAGCTCGCAGCGAGTATAATAGATAGATTCTTTACATCTATATAATCTTATTAATTAAGAATAATAATATTATAAGAGCGTTTTTTCGAAAACTTAAGAAGTAATATAGGAAAAGAGATATATAGTATTTTCGCTATATAATTACTAATAACTCTATAGTTAAATAAAAGGCTATTCGACTAGTCTTTTAAGGCCTTAAAAAAGATAAATAATAGATTAATTATTTTCTCTATCGAAAATATAGCGAAAGAACTCTTAAATGATAGCTATATATCGACGATTATAAAAAGTCCTTTAAGTACCTCTATAAGACTTTCTACTATTAATTCTTAGAGTAGAATTATCTCAAATTAATTTATATAATTATTACTACGACTCTAGAATTAAAGAAGAAGTATATTTACCGCGATTGGCTGGAGATTAAGTAATTTTAGGCGTACTATATACGTTAATATTTCTATTTACTTCTATAGATAATTATTATAAATTCGATTAAGTTCTAATATTATTCTCTTAAGATTTATATCGATAAGAAGAATACTATGCTATAATTTAGTCTATTAGAAGTCGCTATATATATACTAAAGATCGCTAATTAATAAAAGCTTCGTAACGAATAAATAGTAGTTAAATTTAGATCTTATTAATTTATTAAGTATTAGATATACTCTTAATTAGCGAACTTTTCTAATTTAATTTAGTAATTTCTAATTAATTAATTAAAGAAAGCGATAAAAGTCTAAGACGAAGGCGAGTTAGGCTTCTTAACGCTCTTTATATATTACTAATTATTAAAATAGACGAGATCCTTCATAATTTAAATAACGAGTTATTCTATATCTACGTCTTTTATTATTAATATTAATTATTATACTTTTATCTCTAATAATTTAACTTAATAAGTAATATATTTACTAAGACTAATTAAAAAAGATAGATTTATATATTTAAAGAAGAAGGCTTTAAAATCTATAAGAGTATAATTAAAGAATATATTATAAAGAATATCTACGATAAACCTAACGATTCTAATAAGTATATATTAAATATTTATAAAGTACTCGATAAGATTAAGATTAAATTCTACGATTTAAAGGCGAGTATAATAAATTAGAAGAATAATATAAGAGAGCGTATTTTCGCTTAGTGGATAGCGATATTACGCTAAATAACTAGGCCTATTTATTAATAAGAGATTTAAGAGATCTTAAAGAAGTTCGTCGGCGATAAATATAGTATAGCTCGATTATAGATGTTAGCGAGACGAAGTAAAGAGAATTAGACTAGATTATATAAATAATACTATTAATAAAGTTCTCTTTTCTATAAAAATCCCTAGCTTCGATAACGGCGAGTCTTCTTTTTATCTTATATATCTCGAGAAGATAAAGAGCCTTTATTATACGAATAGCCTTATTAATAATAGCGAGATCTAGCGATAATATAATAGTAATAGCGAGATTACTATAAGACCGCGTCTTATTTTAATATAATCTCTATATAAATCTAGCGCGATCTTATAATCTCGCTACTGATATTTTTCTTAGTACGAAGATCGACATCAAAAGTCCTGGACATGCCAAGATAAGGGTCCAGGTAGGGCTGAGTGCTTGGCATACTTTCAAATTTCATGGATAGCATTATTATTCTTTATTTTAATGAGTATTAGTGCTCTATATAATAGCGACGTAGTATATATATACGAAGTATATATATATAAAGTATATATATGCGAAGTATATATATAATAGCGATATTAATAGAATATATAATAGCGATAATATTAAAGTATTAATTATAGCGTAGAGAAATAAAGAAAGAGTATAAAGACTTCTAATATATAAGTCTTATTTATATAATATAATAAATAGAAATCTTCTTATTATTCTCTATCTTAATTATCTTTTATTAATATATTTAATACTTAAAGTATTAATTATAATAATAAGACTCGAATTTAAATACTTACTAAGTCTTATTAACTATAAATAAAACGTTATATTACTTAAAAAGATATATTAAAAACTTATAAGAAAGTCGAAAGATAATAGCTATATTATTAAAATTATAAGCTTACTTATAAAAGTTAAAAGAGGATTTAAAAGTAAATAGAGCGAATATCGAGATATATTGCGGAGATAATACGTTTTAAAGATAATAACGAGTATAGAAAAGACCGTAGGGGAGGTGATATACGATTATACGACTCCGCCGAGCGAGCTAATAAGTATATACGTAATTATATAAAGCATTATCGTTAAATAAATGTAACTATACAGAAAGTGCCAAGAATGCCAAGAGTGCCAAGTATTTTAGCGCTGTCCAGGACTTTTGGTGCCGACCTCCGTATAGACTGAGGTTTAAAAGCATACGCATAAAGTAGTTCTGCAAACACTAGGCCGTTCTTTCGAGAATAGGAACAACCCGCGGATTTTGCTATAACAAACGCCTGATATCCAGAACAACAAAACCGGTGAACTCTATTAAGTAAAGAAGGTGCCGCGATTTACCGCTGGGTTGTATAGCATCCGCAACCCGGCTGACACCTCGTGCAGTGATTCTTCCTATTCTCAGGAACCCCACACCTTTCCTGGACATGAAAACCTGGCCTTCCTCCTCCATCGTCTTCATTTATATCCATAGATCCACGCAAGACGCACTCGCTTCCATCCATCAATCTCCCAACGTCTGCCCTCCACCATTCAGTCTGCTTGTATCTCCCGAGCTCTCTTGTTCTCAGCACAACAATCTTCTCACTCGGTACATCTCGACCCTCGTGCCATATCGTGAAGCCTTCGTCAAGATCTCCCAAGCGTGATCTGAAATCATCGAACAAAGTCTGCATAAACCTATCATAGTCCCAGTACTCGTTCACCAGATCTCTGGTGCCCAAAACGATCTCCAATCGGTTCCACCCTTTCAATCCACACAAGGCCCTCAGCCATCTACTGGACATTGGGAGATTATAGTGAACATCTTCTGGAGAAGCGGTATAACGCCACCGCCGAGCGCCTTTCCCAATCCAATCTTCCGCGTATATCACCAGCAGATCAAGGCCGAGCGCTTCTTCACCGAAGAGATATCCATTGTCATTGCCGAGCGCCAAGAAATGTGTCAGGTGACCAGGAAAGAGGGACTCGATAACTAAGATTTTCAAGGCCGCTATCTGGAATGGACGGAGGCGTAGGGAAGACAAGAAGTTGACTTGGGGATCGTATTGGTTGCCGAAATGATGGAGAGCGAGCGGGATGGTGCGGGTTTCGTAGTAGACTTGTCGATTCGTGGATAGGAGGGAGAGGTCGAGAGAATGACGGTAGGGAGGCTCGGGGGCGCAAACCTCTGGTGTGTTCAGCAGGGCGAGATAGAAAATGCTGCTGCGGATTTCGACGGGGAGGGTCAGGAGGGTTGGTGGAGGGTTCGTCATGGCTGATGGGGCAGGTCGTTGGTTGCGGAAGCTTGAATCGAATGCTTGCTGCTATCTATGTCTCTTGCAGAATTGGGAAAGTCTCAAAGT